CCTCCCAATATGATGAATTTTTAAATGTTAAGCTTTGGATGTTAGCTACTTTGTAGATTACCCTTATATTCCTAAAATAAGTTTTACCTGATTATAAAATGCTCTATTCGTATGATGTTGGACCCAGAGTCTCTGTTCTTATTAGTTTGACATTTGACATTGATTTTTAGACGTGAGATTGGTTTATGCACACGTGTGTTTTCTTTTTATATTTTAGTATGTATTATCTTAATAGCATGAATCTGGGAATGTCTTTTTCTAAGCTCTTAAGCAGTAAGGAGTGACTACTAAAATGGCCTGTTCTTCAAGTATATTTAGTAGGGAGTTGTTGGAGACTTTGGACCTGTGTTTCCCTGGAGAGGAGCCTTCCATAGTTTCCTCTCCACCTTCTGTGGTTTCTTTAGTGTTCACTTTTCTCTACATTATTGTGGTAATTAATACCTTCTTGAAATCTCCTAAATTTGGCTTTTCTATTTTTTTTTTTTTTGGCTTGGAACTGAACAAAATAGTCTTCTATTCTTCTCTGAATCTGTTTTTTTTTACCCTATCTAAGTTATTACTAAGTGGAAAAGATAAATCTATGCTAAGAATATTCTTAAATGTCTTTTTAAAAATGATGACACGAAAGTATGTACTCTATGCAACATCCATATTTTATTGAGATAGCAGTAATTTCTAAGGTAATAGCTGGAATCTCAGGGATGTAGACAGAGTGTGTCTTTGCTGATCACCTCCCCTCTCTCAACAGGCTCTGAGGATGAAAGCGAGGACGAGTGCAGCTTTGAAGGCAGAGATCCCGACACTTGGCACGTTGGTTTTAAGATCTCGTGGGACATCGAGACGCCGGGCTTGACAATTCCTCTTCACCAGGGAGACTGCTATTTCATGCTGGGTAAGGTCGGGGGACTAGGTTGTGGGGGCATGCGTGGGGTTTTAAAATACACTTTTGAATATTTTGTATTTATAATGATTTTTTCCCATGAACATGTAACTCATTGTTTTTTCATTTTTATTTATTTTATTTATTTTGTGTTTGTGTGTGTGTGTGTGTGTGTGTGTGTGTGTGTGTGTGTGTAGAAGTTAGACCCTGTTCTTCCTCCCAGCCCCATGCTCCCAGAAATAAGACTTAGACTCAAAGTACATTTGCAAATACCTTGACCATATAGTGAGGCTCTTCTCTGACTAGAATCATAACTTAAGTAACTCACTTACTTTAACCTACATCCTGCCATGTGGCTGGTTACCTGTACTCCAGTCAGTCAGTACTTCACATCTTCCCAGGTGAATCTTCCCATGCCAGGCTCTCTCTGCCTCCCCGATGTCCCACCTTCTATTTCCTGCCTAAGCAATGGGCCATAGGCTTTTTAGTTGACAGGTAATGTATCCATTCAATTCAGAAGATATCCACTCTACATGCCTGTTCTGCTTGCATGCATGTCTGCACCACATGCATGTCTCATACCCATGAAGGCCAGAAGAAAGGGTTGGATCTGGAGTTACAAACAGTTGTAACCCTCCATGTGGGTGCTTGGAACCGAACTCTGGTCCTCTGCAGGAGCAGCAAGACAGTTTCCTCTCATGATCAGCTGCCATGTTCACAGTATCTTTCTCTCTACTTGTGTTTGAATGCTTTGGAAAGTAGTGTTTATGGGTTTACAGCAAATGATGCTGTGGAGTTTGGGGTGCTTTGATTTTTGCTGCTTTGTTTAGGAATTTGGGGTGTCACTTATCCTCAGTTTATTTTCCACTCCAGAATGTACAAATATTCTGGAGTTTTTGTCTGCTACTCATGAAGGGGCTAGGGAGATGGCAGGCATGAGGACCTGGGCTGACTCTACAGAGGGAACCCATGAAAACAAGCTGGTGTGGTGCTGTGCCGCGTCAGCTCAGCACTAGGGAGGAGACAGGAGGCTCCCTGGGGCTTGCTGACCAGCCTCTCAAGCCAGTGAAGCCATTGTCAAAACATGAAGCGAACACTGGAGGAAGTGTGCCAAGGTTCACCTCCAATTTGCCCACATGCATGCTTGCACACACACTCTCTCTTTCACACAGGAGCGCGAGCGCGCACGCACGCACGCACGCACGCACGCACACACACACACACACACACACACATGCTGCTTCTTACAGTTTATTTTCTACTTGGCTGGGCCTGCTGAGTGTTCCAGGTTTGTCTCATTCCTGTCTACTTGCAGAGACCTGAGATCTGGTAGCTTTTTAGCTAGGAAGAACCAGGGCTTGAGATCAGTTTTTGGTAAGGATTATTTTCCTGTAAAGTTTGGTGTCTATAGAGTTTATATATTGCAGGTACTGAGTAAGATTCTGAGATGTTGGAGAACTGTAAATCTTGCTCCTTGCCTCCTGGGACTTGGCAGTGTGAAATGGAACATTAGCAGCTCCCAGACTTCAGTTCATAGCGTGTTGGTGTCTAGGACCTTGCTTAATCTCTCGATAACTCTGTATCTCATGGACTGTTTCTCTCTAAGTCTTAACTTTTTCCACCATTGAAATAAACTCAATTTTGAAGGAGATTTTATATCCCTATATACATCAACCAGTATCAACTGGCCCAATTACAGGTATTTTGTAAATATAAATATAGAAAAACTAAAAGTGTTAAATACTCACTACTTTTCTTTGCTGGGAGATCTTAGTGTCTGAGTCTGAGTCTTATTTTTTGTTTAAACAAGAGACCAACAGTTTATATGAATACTGTGCAAATTATGTACACAGTGAATATATGCCAGTAAAATTTGTAGCAATAAAAAGGAAAGAAAAGTATCATTATTACTCCTAATATCAGACATAAACTTTTATCATTTGATTAGCATAATGGATATTAAAATGAGATGTCCTTGGTGAGAAAAAATTATTCACATTAGAGAAAGCACAAATGAGGCAGGCAGACAGACACACTAATGACATTAACGCCGAGGGAGTAACTCTGCAATAGGCCAATCTGAGGCTTTTCCCTTGGTGTTTACAGGTAGATTGGAAGTAAGCACATGGCTTAGTGCCGCATCCGTTTGTAGCTTCTGCTCAGTGTCTTGCTTCCATTTGCATTTTGCTTTCTCTCATACAAACCTGTCTCACAGAAGCAACCTCAGACTCTAAGCAGCCTTCCAGGAGGATGTCAGAGGTGCAGGTCTGTCAGTCCATTCATATGTGGCAGCACAGAGACCAGAGTGCCTGGCCACAGGCTCCAGGTAGGGCTACTCTCACTGTAACTGTGGTCCTGTCAGCTGGCTCTCAGGATGCTGAAACCTCTGGAGTGGCATCAGTGTTAAGGCTATCCCTTCCCTTTATCCCCCAGTTTGATTTCAGGATCCAAACTTTTATTCTGAAGTCTCTATCCCTGTTATTGAATGCCATTTGTCTAAAAAGGTTATAACTTAAGTTTTTATATTTTTCCCAAAATTTTGATCTTTGGCTTGAATCCAAATATCCAAATAAAGGACATCTCTTGGGATACTTTTTTGGCAGTTTCTATTAATAATTTGCACATGTGGAGGCCCGAAGAGCCAGAATGTTGCCTTTTCAAATAGCTTCCTGTTTATCTGTATATGAGAGAAATGGATTTGCAGTATCAAAGCTCAGCTAGCTCTTGTGTATTTAATAACATCTTCTATGATTTCTTCTGATTAAAAAAGCAAAAGTATGGAGGCAGGAAAGATAACTCGGTGGTAAAGACTGTACTCTGTTCGCAGAGTACCACGTTTGGGCTGTTTACAGCTCCCTGTAACTCTGGGGCATTTCAGAACCTCTTCTGGTCTCTGTTGGCACCTGCACTCATATCTGTATACATACATACAGACACACATGCATAATTAAAGAAGAAAAAGCAGCAAATGTTCATTCTAGAGAAAAGAGATTCTGTAGAGTATGAAAGGAAAGAACATAAAAACAAGTTTCCTATGTGATTACTATGTTCCTGCCCAGGCTCTTCTCATAATGCATATCTGGAATGGTAATACTATTAATAACACACATTTATTAGAAATTAGTGGCAAGTGAACCATTCTGTTAATTTGCTTGTAACCCTGAGAGATGAATTTTTGCTATTGTAAAAGAAGCCGAGTTAGCTCATCCTAGGTTACACAGCCAGTAAGAGTCAGGAGTTAGAACCTGACATTTGAGCCTTCTCAGGTTCCAGCATTCCTACATCTGAGCCTTTCTCTGACCCCAGGTAGCCCCGAGTCCCCTCTTCTCCCTTCTACAGTACTGGCCCTGCTTTGGACTTCAGCCCACTTCTTGCCACTAAGACTCATGGCTCTGCAAGGGAAAGCCAAGATGATGGTATTCTGTTTTGATTTGCTTTGTTTTTCAGTTTTAAAGGTTTTTCTTTTTTTCATTTAATAACTGGATAAGTGTTGAAAGCATTTAATTAGTCACATTATTAAGACATGGAATTGATTACATTATCCTTCTGATGTAGTTGTTACAAGGAAAGTACATGTTCAAACACACAGTGAGTCAGTCTCTCAGTGCTGTAGGGGCTAAACTCCAAAAATCCATGCTGTTTTTAGAAGCTGATATTCAGGATACAAAAATCTAGCACTTTCTATGTCCTTTCTTCAGACAAAGATGACTTTACTGGTTTCCACAATCCTCTTTCACTCATAAACCCCAAAGTGTTCATTTAGAACATATATTTATGAAGATGCCATATTTGGTATTTAAAATGAATTTTGAGTACTGTTATAAACTAAAATAAACTCCTATTTAAAAACCTCATAATTAAAAACATATATAAAAGCAACTGCTGTGTAGCTTTGCCCTTTCACATTAGCTTTTAAAAGTCCAAGTAAGGAACCCCATGGCCGTGCCTATGCTGATAACTGAAGCCGAACCTCACAGCACTTACAAAAAGGAAACAGTTTAGCTCAATTTATAATAATATATTGGTCTGCAGAGGAAGTACAGACTGAACCCCACTGTCTCAAGTGAATACTCCAGGGGTGTCTGATGGGGAATGTGTCGGGTGCCTGTAATAAATCCACCGCTGTGGGCGTGAGCGAAAGCCTGTTGGCAGTGCCTGAGGACACACTTCATGGGGTTGTCACGGTTTTACTTTTAAATTGGAATCTTTGCCCTAATCTCAGAGTTAGACAAGACCAGATTTGCAAACAGATTTACAATTTTCACTAATTTTCCAACCAGGACTTCAAAACACACTTAGAGGAGGAAAGAAAAAAAAATACACCCCCCCCCAACCCCCAACACTCTAGTGTTTCTCAGGGTTGGGTGATTTACTCTGCCACAGCTGTTTTCCATAGACTGCTTGTAGCCAGGGAGTTAGAGACCTGCGAGTGCGTGGAGACAAACTGGGTTTGCTTTTTGTGGAGCAGATTATACACTTCAAGGGACAGCAACTAAATTCTGTTCATTAACCAGGAGCTGGGTGCGGAGGTGGGATGTTTGGGGACAAAGGTGAATAAACATTGAGACCTCTGCTGGTCCCCTGTCCCCATTAATGTATCATCATGATGTCTTAAACGTCACTGGTCATGGCTGCTCTTATCTCTTTTATGACTTAAGTCCAGCTGAATCTCACTTTAAAATATCTAGTGTTCCTACGATAACTAGCTATTTCAAAGCCTTAGTTGTTAAATTCCAGAAGCAAAATTCTTGGCCAAAGCAGAATGAAGCAGTAGACATCAAAATGCCTGGTTTTGTTAGGTCTAATTTCCCTGCACCATGCACGGCCCCACAGCGTCTGCACATCTCTTAGTCTTGGTCGAAGTGTCAAAGGAGAGCTTCCCTCTGCCCTGTTTCTGGCCTTGTTAGGAGTCAGGATAGGCGCGGGGACCTGTGCTTTGCAGGCTATGTTAAGTACGGGGACTTACTGCAGAGACTGGGACTGGGACCACGGCACACTGGAGAACCAACGAG